ACCCTTAGTCACCAACAGCACGGCCGTAAGCTCCCAAACACAGCCCCACACAAACTCTCTGCTACTCTCCTTAGAAGCTTCCAGAAACAGCGCGCCTTCCCGCCCCCAAAATCACGCCCCTTGCGCAAGCGCAGTTCCTCCCATTGCGCATGCGTACGCGGGCCGCAGACTGCAATTAGGCGGTGCGCGCCCAGCGGCCTCTGCGTTGCGTTTGCTGCGCATGTGGAGCGGCGTGCTGAGGAGGTGTCGGGTTGTTGGCGGAGGTGAGGAAGCGTGTCGTCGGAGCGGGGTTAGAGCACTGTAGTGGCGTACGCATTCTTGATTCTTTAAGTGTATTGTTGTGGTAAATGAGCGTCTTGCCTTTCTGCTGCTCCTGCCCCGGGCCGGAGGAGCAAGACGCCGTGCAGCACGGGTGGTGCTTCAGGCTGAGGAGGGAAGGGGCCGGGCAAGAACGTGGTGGAGCAGCTGGAAGGTAGCGGGCTGGGGTTGTTCCTCTGGCCGTGTCTTACCGAGGCAGGGTGCATCCCGCACCGTGAGGCGGTAGCAGCCAGGGCTTCTGCGGCACGCGTTTTTCCCAGAGGCCACAAAGTCTGAAGCGGAGAGTGTTCTTGGAAGGTGTGTAAAATTAGGCAGATGGGGAGAAAGAGCACCTGGCCCTTCCCTGTTGGAGTTCAGCTTGCTACTTGAATATATATATAGCCACAACAGAAAACAGGTGTTGTAGATGTCCCATAGCATTTAGGGCTTAAAGAAAATGTTCACTCTCGCATCTCAAACTCTGTGATACAACAGCTACTTTTTCCTTTTCTTTTAATTCGCCCTGTTGTACATTTAGGCTTTAAAAAAAAAAAAGTGTTTCAGGCCTGATTTGGTTTTGCACAAAGCTGCATAGACAAGGTGCCAGCCGAAGAGAAGGGGATGAAACATGCAGCAGGGAAATAAAAGTTCAGCTTTTTGGGCAGAAGCCCATACTTAAGAGTGGCTCGATATTTTGAAACTACAGCTTTAATCATCAATACTTTTAACTTGATACTAAAGAGTATTTACTGTATGTATAGTCTAAGATATTTATGCTTGTATTTAACGATTGTCATCACTTTCTCTGTAAAATAGTGTATTTTTGTTACTTTTTTTGTTATTTTGTTACTTTTTTGTGCTTTGGCCTTCAAGCTCCCCCTACTGGACCATTTTGCTTTTGTTAGTGGAAAAAAAAATTATAGGAGACAATCAAAGATGGAGAGGCAGACTGTTCACTTAATATATGGATTTAGTAGTGAAGTAACTGTTTCTGACACACAGCAAAACTTATATTAGAATTAAAGGCATACATGCAGGTGTGTAAAAACTTCTGTAAGAATCTAACCTGTATCTAGGTTGCTGAATAATTTCTTTCCTAAAAATATTTTCTCCTAACAGTTACTCACTACCACAAAAGTAAACTGGTAGAACAACCATAAGGTACCGAACAATGAAAAAAATCATCAAGGAAGCTCTCTAGCAACTATGAAATACTATATTGCAAAATCAAAACAGTTGCAGATTACATAATTTCTTCATTTTTTGTTTTTTCTTATATATATTGTTTTGTATATTTGAATTCATGATCTCAAGGGATGTGGGCCAGATGAAGAGTAAAGTGAAGACCCTGAATTTTAGGAGAGTGAGCTTTCAGTTGTTTAAGGAACTAGTGGATGGGAGCCCCTGGGAAACTGCCCTCAGTGATAAAGGAGCAGAAGAGAGCTGGCAGCTCTTTAAGGATGTTTTTCTTAAAGTACAAAAGCTCTTGATTCCCATGTGTAAGAAATCAGACAGGGAAGGCAGAGACTAGCATAGCTGAGTAAGGCCCTTCTGGTCAAACTGAAGTGCAAGAAAGAAATGCACAAATATGTATCCATAGGAAAGAATATAGGGATGCTGCCTGGGTGTATAGGAATGGGATCAGGAGAGCTAAGGCACAGCTGGAGCTGAATTTAGCAAGGGATGTGAAGAATAATCATAAGGGCTCCTACAGGTATGTTGGTTAGAAAAGGAGGACTTAAGAAAATGTGTACACCCCCACCCCCGATAAATAAGATGGGAGATCTAGTGACAACCCACATGGAGAAGGCTGACGTACTTGACAACTTTTTTCCTCATTTTCGCTGGCAGTGACTCTTCCCACATCTCTCAAGTCCCTGAACATCAAGGAGGGGGAATAAAGTCTCTTCTGTTGTAGGAGAAGACGATCTGAGGAACCTGAACATAGACAAGTCCATGGGACCTGATGAGATGCATTCCAGGGTCCTGAGGGAACTGGCAGGTGCAGTTGCTAAGCCATTCTCCGTCATATTTTAAAAGTCGTGGCAGTCAGGCAAAGTCCCCAATGACTGGAGAAAAGAGAATATCACACTCATTTTTAAAAAGGGTAAAAAGGAGAACCGTGGGACCCGACAGCCTCACCTGTGTGCCTGGTGAGATCATGTAACAGATCCTCCTGGAAGCTATGTTGAAGCATGTGGAAGACAGGGAGGTGATTTGGGACAGCTCTCATGGCTTCACCAAAGGCTGAGAGAGTTGGGATTGTTTGGCCTGATGAAGAGAAGGCTTTGGGGAAACCTTATTGTTGCCTTTCAATACTTAAAGGGGGGCTTATAAGAAAGATGGAGAGACTTTTTACCAGGACCTGTAGTGACTGCACAAAGGGTAATGGCTTTAAACTGAAAGAGAGTAGATTTAGAATGGGTATATGGAAGAAATTTTTTAAAGTGAGCGTGGTGAGACAGTGGAACAGGTTGCCCCGAGAAGTTGTGGATGTCCCATCACTGGAAGTGTTCAAGGTTAGGTTGGATGGGGCTTTGAGCAACTCAATCTAGTGAAAGATGTTCCTGCCCATGTCAGGGGTCTTGGGTTAGATGATCTTTAAAAGGTCCCTTCCAACACAAACCGTTCTGATTCTATTACCGGTTATCACAGATAGGGTGGTTTTTTTAAGCCTCTCTCTGCAGGAACAGAGTAGAGTAGTTTACCATTGTTGTTACACAACAACAATCAAATAGAAATAGTTTTGCAAGTGTTTTTCTGTCCCCCTTTCCTGGGCTGACAGAATAACCTTAATTTGCTGCATTACTGTCTACCAGCTCAAAATAAGGAATCTTGGTTCTATACAGAAGGTGAGAGAGCCCAACCAATACCACATCTTTATGAATGCTGTATCTTGTTAAATTTGTGTATGTTCTCATTGCAACTTGTAAAACAGCCTAGACCCGGATGACTTATTTTGCCCATTATGAATAAATAACTGAATAATTTTGAAGCCAAAATACCTGTTACTGTAGATGCCACAAATATGATCATAAAAGTGCTTTTCCCTCTTGTCTTCCT